TATTGGCGCATTTTGCTCAAGTCCTTATGGGGGGTGTGTGTGAAAAACGTATGGGCATAGCTGCCCAGGTTGAGGATCTGGCTGGAATCCAATGTGTCGTTTACTTGGACATCTGGTAACACCCGGGCCACACCACACCGACCTTGCCAACCTGAAGGGAGAGCTTTGTAGACACTGTGGCCACAGATAAAATACAAGCCAGGGGTCTCTAAATAGAGGGCAAGGGTATTACCTGCAACTCGATGGCGCCAGGTCACCCATTTATCCCAGCGCCAGGAGTTACTCACTAGGCGGTCCTGGCACCTCCAATGGGAAACATTTAAGTTTCCTAGGGCATGGGTATTGTTTAAAATGGCCCCACAATACGTAACCCCAAATATGTTAGCTGTGAAACTTGCAAGTGATCCCATGGACTCCGGGCATCCAGACATCCTTTCAAGGGATGTGTGGGGCAACAGAATGCCAGAGTAAATATCCATATAATACATATGTGTCTTATTTATGGGGCCTAACGGGAGGAATAAGGGAAACCACTGCCCTTGATAACGAATGCCTGTTGGTTTCACAGTAAAGGCCATGTGCAGGAGACAAGGGGGGTTTTTGGGCGTTCTCAGGGGTATTTAAAGGGTAAAGGGTTCCATTTCTGACCTCAAACCGAAGGGTTTGATCACAGGCCTCCAGGGGAAGGTAGCCCACTTCCCTCCCACTTCCTTCAGCATTTTCCAAACAAAGGGGCATGTTATACCCGATCCCAAGAACTTTAAAAAGAGGGACCCCCCTTAGCTGCCCAGTAATAATGCCAAACTTCAGACCTCCTCCCATATTTGTCATATTGATATTCCCCAACCCATGCCCATTCAGTTTTCCGTACTACCTGTAAGGAGAGTACTTCAGAGAGATTTGCAGGTACAGCCCACAACCCTATTCCTTCCTCAGAGCGGGTTTTGTGACACAGCCAACAATCAGATAAGTGTCCCAACGTGGCTATTCGCTGAAGAGGTTTAGCGGCTGGGTGTGGGTTAGCTTGTACAAGGGGCAGACCCAAAAGCAATAGCCATTGCAGCACCGTCTGAGAACCCATAGTTATAAAGTCTTAGGATTTTGTTCGCCGTAACAGAAGCTTTAGTCCCTCAAGAGGTTTCCAGGTATCGTCTGCTTCTGGCTCTTCCGGGTCGCGGTGGGAAGAGCTGGCGGGGCTCCCTCGAGGTCCGAAGTCGTCTGCTTCTGGCCCCGTCCTAGGGGCTAGCTTGACTCGGGTGTGGTGTATCCAAGTGTCTCGCTCTTTGTGAGAGGTAAGAAGGACTTGGAAAGGGCCCGCCCACCGGGGTTGGAGAGGCTCGTGTTTCCACTCTTTCACATAGACCCAGTCTCCTGGAGCGATCTGGTGGGCAGGAACATCAGTGGGTAGGGACTGAAATTGAATTGGTAAGTGTGGCCCCAGTTGTCCTTACCTAGAGAAATACTAAAAAAAGCATTACACAAGTCTATTACTGAATAACAAGCAGTACCTGCTGGAATGGCAGTCAGGATTGTGTGAGGGTTTGGCACCACATTGTGTCTAGCTTGAACAACCTTATTTACTGCACATAAGTCCTGGACAAATCGGTATACCGGTTTTCCCTCTGAGTCCAGGTCAGGTTTTTTGACTGGCAGAATGGGAGTATTGAAAGGAGACTTGGTGTGAACCAGCACTCCCAACTCCAGGAATGTGGTGATAAGACTCCGGAGGCCAAGCAGAGCTTCTCGGGGGATGGGATACTGACGAATCCGAGGAATTTCAATGCCTGGCTTCAGGGTTATACGCACTGGCTCTGTCTGGAGAGTCCCCAAGTCTGCCCTTGAAGTGCCCCACAAGGAGATGTTTACCTCCTGTCTGAGTCGCTCGGGTAGGATCGGGTCCGCAGGCAGGATTGGGTCCTTTGAAACTTGGGTCAGTACAGCACACAGCTGGGGAAGTTGGGTTTGAGGCAACCGAAGAATGATTTTGTCATCTGAAAAGAAAATCTGAGCACGTAGTTTACACAACAGATCTCTGCCTAAGAGGTTAACTGGGGAATCCGGGGCTAGCAGAAAGGCATGGGAGGCAGAGACACCAGAGATTTCTACAGCAGCCTCCTGTAATACAGAACAGTCAAATGGCTTCCCGCCTATACCCATTACCGGAATGCTCTTATCCGTGAGGCTTCCTCTCTCCGGCTTGGCAGTAACAGTAGAAAGTGCAGCCCCTGAATCCAAAAGACAAGAATAGGTGGTTCCTCCCAATGTTAGGCGAACCTGGGGGTCTGTGAAGGAACAAACATAAGTGGTAAAATCATTTGAATAGGTGACAAGAGGACCCCCTGGTTGCCGTCATTCCTCATTATCAACAGCGTCTGTTCTTGTTACAGCCATCTGTTGTTGAGGTCGGTCTGGGCGACGGGGTTGTCGTCCGGTAGGTCGGTTCGGACACTCTCTCTTCCAGTGGCCAAGCTGCTTACAGTAGTTACATATGTCATTGGCATGTCTCGGGGTTCCCTCCATAATCCGATTTTGGTTGCCACTTGGGGGGTCCCTGCCGCCCTCCCTGTTTTTCATTTCCAGTGTTTACAAGGGATGCTAGCATCCTCACCTGTTTGGTCTCTTGAACTTTTTCCCTTGTATGATATACCCGGGTGGCCACGCTTACCAGTTCCTCCAGGGATTTTCCTTCAGCGCCCTCGAGCTGCTGCAACCGCTTCTTGATGTCCGGGGCTGACTGGGAAATAAAAATAAGCCTGACCGTGGACTGTGTGTCCATGGCCTTGGGATCTGCATTGTGGCGTCCTCAATCTTTGTTGGCGGGATCTGTCTTGGTAGAGCTGCTGCCCCGGGCTCTGTTGAGGAGGGTACCGGGTCCGCCGCAATTGGTAATGCTGCCACCGGGGGTGGCCGTGGTCTAGGGCAATACATGGGGGGGATATCCTCCCAATAATCAGCTTCGTGAGGGGCAGAAGCTTTCAGGAATAGAGGGGCCTGAATCTGTACCTTCTTCAAGCGACGATGAACCTCATTATCCCACAAAAACCAATAGTCCATTTGCCCCGGCGCTTGGTTTTCCAATGTCAGGCGTAAGGGGGTTAAATGGGTAGGAATATCAAAGGAGCCATACTCGGGCCATGCCGTCCCCAGGGCTGGCCAATCCTGGGTGCAAAGTTGTAAAAAAACGCTTCCTTGACATCCCTTTTTGAACACCGGGTAAGGGCCATTTACTTAACATATAATTCAAAGGGCTATCCTTTGAGGGTTTTACCAGAGACCCACCCATCTGCCTGCTGACACTCTAACAGAATTACACAGAGAACAGAGGGAATTATGGCCTAATAGGATCCCATTACAGGAATTTCTACTAATACTGACCGCTACAGGGGACGGGACAGAAGGATCCCAATTCGACCTCAGAGCTTCATCGCACGCGATGGCTTCCACTCTGAGGAATTACGAATGAGAGGCTCGGTTCCGTCCACACACCTAACGCCCAAATGTATAAAAGACAAATTCATTAACCGGTTAACCAAACCAGAACCAGATAGTGTCTCCTTATCCTATTAGGACTCACCTTATCGGAGCACGAACCCCAGGGGCTGCGGTGAAGCAGAGAAAAGGGGCGAAACACCCCGTTGGCGCCATTCCCAGTTCGCCGCAGCCGTCCGGAGTCCAATGTCCGAGCTAGGAGAGTCCCGGCGGAGTCGCCAGTAACTGTAACCGAAATATCGGGTCCACCTAGCTGAGAGCCAATAACAGCCAGACAAGGATAAGGAGGATTTGCTTTATTCTGCAGAAGAAAGGAGAGCTTTGCACCTTGGTACAAAGACTCAGTCTTACACACATTTTACAGATCCTTTATACACATTCAGACAAAGGCCCTTGCCGTGTTAACACTTGATTGGTGGTGGTCAGACCCGTGCATTTGCTATCTGGTCAGTGAAAACCGGCTTGGGACCAGCTCCAACTACCTTAAGGCCTTGAGAGGGAAGACAGTTGAAAAGTTCAGGCTACTGTGTACTTGAAGTGTCTGCTTCCCCCTAATGGCCGCTGGCTGACATAACGGCTACTAGCTGTTAAGGGGGTAGGGGGTGCCACTAGTAACTTTCACAACAATACATTAACTATGGTAAATATATTTCACATCTCATTAATATTCATTGTCACCTAGAATTAAGGTATTTTATTGTAAAGTATTACTGGATTATCTGATACATACAAACTTTTGCCCAAGAGGACTTACAATTGAAGTGGCAACGTGATGGTGGTTGTGTTTGTAGTGCTTTTACATGGATACCACCCTGTTCTCCAAAAAGTTGGGAATGTGGGGGACTTGGCTAGATCAGTGTGCCATACCCAGTCCACACCCAGCCCATCGTGTAAGGTATAACATCCATAAGAAACTCTCTCTATGGTACAGGCCAATTTTGGATCTCGGTTACACCAGTCTCTTTCTGGAGTAACTCAGTTGACTTCAATGTAGCTACTTAGATTCCACAGTGGTAAGTGTGTTGTTAGAATTTGGTCCGGTGTCTTTATTTCAGTATGTAGCCCATTAATGATAAAAATCAACCGAAATAACTTTAGGCTAGACGAGCCTGATTCTGAAGCTGCTTTTCACATGAAACAGAGCTCTGGGCGCCTACTGTAATATTGTCCAGCTCTAGTTCTGTTTCTTGGTGATGCAGTTAATAATTCATCATATGTTTAGAGCATAAAGAAAAACTCCCCTGCTACAACTTGTGATTGAGTTAGAATATTTCTGTTAAGAAAGCTACCCGGATCTGAAGCTATAATGATGCAACTAAATTACTCCATACTGAAGTTAATAATCTGCCCATATTTCTCCAAGTTCTCCAAGAGACTGGAATATAGATTTGCTTGAATGACTAACTCTCTAAAGCAGTAATATTTAAAAATAGTCATTACATACACTTCCAAAGGAGTAAAGCTAATGGCATGTCAACCTATAGTTATTCTTTCTGACTGACTGAAGGTTGTCAATCTTTCAGCTCAGAGAGTACAGTGTCCTTTGTAACGTATTTCCATTGAGGAGGGATTTCTCCTTTGCCTTCAAACTTTCTACCATGGAGTTTTTCTATCTCTGCCTTGAAATGACACACAAACCATTTCCAGTAAGACTGCTCTGACATGTCTGGTGTGATCTTCCAGTCAGAATAAGGAGATCCTCCTTCCCAGTATTTCTTGTATGGAATGCGTCGATCGTCACGAAGTATGTGTAAGCAATCACTTGCTACAAGACTGGAACAAATCTCAATAACTAGATTGTCTGTTTTATGCCAGTATCCACCATCCACAGCTCGAGGCCGATGGAAAGGAACACTGTGTTTTCCATCATGACCAGCTATGGTGTTTGTGCAAAGAGCTGTGCAAAAGGGACACTTCTCCCAGCACCCACCAAGCTGTTCAGCTAGTATTTCATGTGGTTTTCTTGAAAATGGCCCCATATCAATGGTAGTAAAGTCTTTTTTCAGATTTTCTACCACAGGAGACAATGCTTTACTCATTGCTGCCTTAAGAAACTCTATGTCGGTTACCTCCTGATGTTCAATGCTTTTTAGATCATCTCTTGGAAGGGTTAAATGCTGTAGAAGTCTCCTGCAAAATTCATCCAGCCATAAGGATACATTGCCACTTCTGTCTTTAGTAACTTCAGTTGAGTCGCGAATAGCTGAAAGGACAAGAGTATGAAAAGAATCAAGGGAATTTTTTAGGAAACTCTTCAGTTTTGGATTGTTCTTGTCTAAGCAATAATCATCAACACGCTGCTTGATAAAATCCTCAAAAAAGTATTTTGGGGATTGAATGTATCGCTTGTACTCCTCAAAGTCTTCCTTCTCTGCCAGATACACAAGAATATAGTTTTCTAGTTTGGATCTGTTCCCATTGAAAGCTGGAAGTGTAGACTTCATCTCACTGGCTATGTCAATGGCAGTCTTGTCATAGACTGCCTGGCGGAGAGCTGCAGAAAGCTTGGTGCATAGGAAATCAGCAAATGCTGTGATAGAGGTTGCTCCTTGGCAGGAAATCTGAAAACACTTGAAGAAATCTTCTCTTTTACTCTCCAGGTAGACAGTTGGATTATTTGCGTTTTTAAATGCTGTGTGCATGTCTTCAAACCTTTCTCTTGCCATTTTGCATAAAAATACTGATAAATCTATTATGTAATCATTATTAAATTTGTACTTTGGGTTATTAGCTGCAGAGTCCACCTCTTGTCTTATTTTATTCAGTATTTCATGAATGTAACTTGCACTGTAATCCAGTCTCTGCTGCTCTTTCCTATCGATCATTGCTTTGACCCCCTGTGTGATGCGACCTGTAACCTGCTCTATGGTGTCTCTATCAAACTTCTCTAAAGTCTTCTTGAATACATACAATGTTTTCTTTATGGTGATATGCTTCGAAAAATCAGTGGAAAACATATTCTTGCTAGAACAGGCCTTAATTTTTTCTGCTATGACAGACTTCGGTTCAAAACGCTCGAGCAGGATGTTTTCTATATCAACCCTGATGTTAGGCTCTGTAGCAGGAGGGGCATCAGAGGACACTTCACAGACCCATTTTCCCCACAGGAGGTTGAAGTTGTGTCTCAGTTCATTTTCACTCAATTCCTTGCCTTTTAATGACAGAGCCAACTCTTGGCTCTTTTTGAATAGCTCCTTTTCATATTCTGACTTTCTTTCATCCAGTTTGCTTTGGTTCTTCCTTAGTCTGATAAGGTCTTCAGATTTCCTCATAGTTTCCTCAATAAGTGACTTTTTAAGATCTGTCAGTTTAATTTCTATGTTTGCTTTCCATTGAATCAATATTTCAGCATCTGGGTCTTCACTGAAATACTTTTCGAGTTGATCCATGATGGCACCATATTTTTTTTTAACTCCTTCTTCAAGGCTTTCTCTGGTGATCTGGAGCATTTCTTTGTTCCTGATTTGATTGTTTAGTTGTATCTGCAGCTCTAGCATGTGACTTCTCAGCTGCCAGGTCCATTGGCTAAACATATTTTCTAACCTGCTGTATGCTGCAATCTCCAGCGTGTTCTTAAAGCTAAAAATAAAATTCTCATTTAACAAAGCCTTCCACAAATCACCGATTCGGCCTTTTAACCCAGAAAGCGTTAAAACACTGCCCTGAGATTCCTTTTTGGCAGCCATGAGAATCTTGCTCTTCAGTTCCTGCACATTTTGGCTGTAACTGGGATTCGGAGGTGCCATTGGTGGGTTTCCTTCCCAGAGGTGAGCAAAGTAATGAATGTGGGTGTTCACATCAAATCGGATAACATCATTAAAGCAGGTAACATCACAGAACTCTTGCTGGGCGGCAGTAACTGCCATTTCATCTAACTTTTGCTGGAGGCGTCTTTGTCCTTCCATATTTTTTCCTTTTGCACTTATTTCTCCAACATTTTGGTGCACAAACAAACAGCTTGGGGAGAGATTTACTTTCTTCATCCTCAGAAATGCCTGGACAGCGATCTGCAGGATATCTTGCATTTCTGAAGGATTCTCTCCAAAGATATTGATCACAGTCATGTTGCCAATACCAATGACGAAGGTGGCTAGCTCATTATCATGATTAAGGGACAACTTATTGGCTATCTCTATGGCCCGGAGCCCTTCCGTATCAATAACTAGTATGTAATCAAAGTTCAGATCCTGTTGGAGGTTCTCATCCACCTTAATCAGCTGCATGAATGCTCCCCTGGTGCATCTCCCTGC